TGCTTTGGTCTAGCTCCAGTTTAACATGATGGGTGCCCTGATAGCAGCTTGGCAATTCATAACAAACAACAACAGTTTATGCATGAGTTACTCTAGTGTAATCTAAAGACATCAATCCTTTAAGCAAGAACTTAGATTATCTTCATCTTTCCTGGTGTTCTGCCAGCGCTTGAAGAGTTTACTCTTTCACCAAGTTCTTAACTCTGTCGCTGCTTAAGTTCTTACATATTATTTACTGGTTAGTTTTCTATTTTTAATGCAGTTTGTAATTATTTCCATGTTACTTATTTTATTTATATGGATTATTATTTTAATTCTGTTTGCTGAATTTTGTAATTCAGCTGCTTTGAGCACCTCCATATAGAAAGGAAGCTCAGAGTAAAATATTACTAAAGGGACCACTGATAACTACACAACTCTGTTCATCCCCATTTACCTTTGCCTGGCCTCCACCTAAAGCCATGCAAATAGCCTTTCACACATGCTTTTCCTCTGCATCTTTGGCCTGTCCTGGAAATCAGCTTCACAATTTGGGGTCATGCAGGGTGCTGGGTGAAGGGGAATCTATTCCTGTACTGAACTTGGGAGCACACAAAATGTGTTCCACCACCAGTGTCCATTCAACTATGGGCAGACACCATTGGATACAACCTTCTCTTCACTCTCCTGCTTTACCTTTGAATTAGACCTTGAAGTTCCTCCTGGCATTGCTAGCATGAAGAAATCCAATTCAACCAAACTAGACTGAGGCAATGGCAAGCTACCATTGAAATAATAGGTTTATATGCCCTTAAAGCCAAGTTATTTATTTATGGGCTAACAAACTAATCCAATGCTTGTTTATTGGAAGAAAAAAATCCCATGGAGTTCAATGGGGCTTACGTCTAAGCAAGCTTATTTCGGATTGAATCCTGCATGACTAGCTCTTCTACCTGAAGAACATAATTGCCATGTTGACTGTAAATACTCCAGGCTAAATGTACTTTTCAGGAAATACACAAAGTGTATTGGGAGTGGAAAAACAAGGTTTGAAACTGGAGTTCAGAAGGTAACAAAACCACAAAACCATCCAGCAGCAGAAGCCTGAAGCATTTGCACACAATCTTCCAGAGTAGTTCCAACCATAGAACTAAAGAGGCCACAATGGTAGCAAAAGTAACGTCCTCAGAAAAAAAGCATGACATCCATTCAAGAGTTATTTACACAGTCATCATTTCTTTACAGTTTCCAAGTGAACTGCAAGAGTCTGCCATGGGCAAAAAAATCACAGGTTCTCACCTTGGACACAAGGGTTGTCCCGTAAGATCAGACCAAAGGCCTAGCTAGTCCAGCATTCAGTTCCTGCTGTGGCCAGAAGCCTGTGAGAAGCCTACAAGGAGGCCATTGAGTGTAAAAGCACCATCCTACTCATATTCTTCAGCAATGCATGCATTATCCTAAGCAAATGTGGCATCTGGAATGGAGACACTAGCAACTTAATTCAGCAGCCTTAAAACATGAGAAGACAGCAGCGACTGGCCTACTTTTATGGAGAAGCACCATCTAAGTCAGATTGCATCATGCCTTAGATCACAGGCCAAGAGGCCTCCTCTAAGCTTCCATTCACATCATATGTAAATGTCTTCTGTAAGTAGCCAGTTTCTACCAGTTCCCAAGGTCTTAAGGAGAGAACAGCCAGCCAATCATGTTTATCAACACCAAGCCAAGAAGCTGCCTTGCAGAACCAAGTCACCTCCCTCTAGCTCCACAGCTAGCCCAAGGAAATTTGCTGTCTCAGATGAAAGGTCAAATGGCACCCCTTCTTCCATTCCATATTCAGAAGTCAACTAGTCAGGCCTTCAAATCTTTCTTCTGTATTGGGTACAGGACAGAACCTGCCACCACACTTGAAGGTAGCAAGCTAGCTTGGGGGATACCAGAAGGGCTATTTTCCAAGAGAGGGAAACACCTGAGGGGTTTGAGAAGAATGGTTGGGGAGGCTGCCATGGCTGTCCCCCAGTATCTGCCACCTAAGGCAGTTTATATTATTAATTAATTAATTAATTGCTTTGCTATCCCATCCCCTACAGAATGTCTTGGGAAGGCTTACAATAAATAAGTAGAATAAAACAAACCCCACAGCATCCAACCATTAATATACTAAAACCCCAGTTAAAATCAATTAAACATTAAAATAATGGGAAAATAAAAAGGGTTTTGCCTGATGCTGAAAAGAATATAACGTTGGCACCAGGCGAACCTCTCTGGGGAGCGTATTCCATAGTTGGGGTGCCAGCACACCGATGACCCTCCTCCAAGTACTCTCCCCCCTAATCTTCAAGGAGGGCTCCTGGAGCAGGGCCTCCTCCTCAGAGCTCAAGAGGTGGGAGGGCACAAAGGGAAGAAGGCGTTCCTTCAGTTCCCTCACACTGCCGAACGGTGCAGCAGGCCTTGTTTTGTAGTAGTCTGGCGAGAGCTGGCAGCAGCTCCTTTGTGTATGCAGACAGGAATATTTCCCAGTCCCACCTGGAGATCCCAGCGATAGAGCCTGGGCTTGCCTGTACGCAGAGCATGTACTGTACCACAGAGCTATGTCCTCTCCTCCTTGCATGAAGAAAAAGCACATTTTCATTTTTCAGTGTCAACTTGGAAGTAAGCCCTGACAGGTCCTGTGAGTCTTAGCTCAAGGGAAGGTGGCTTGGGATTGCATCATCAAAGGTCCTCTGGATAGCAAGCAAAGCTTGGCATAGCTCCAACAGATGCATTTACACATATGCCTAGTGGGCCTTTAGAAAAGACCAGCACACGTTGACCACAGGTGGGATATCTACGATATAAAAAATTCTGAAGAGCAATTATTTAAAACACAGCAAATAATTGTCTTTCATTGTCCAGTCCTTTTACACTTTAATCATAAGGGCATAAGAAGCTAAATTTGAGTCAGCTTCCTGTCCATCTAACCCAATACTGTCAACACTGACTGGTAGCAGCTCTCCAGAATTTCAGGCCAGTTTCTTTCCTAGTCCTACCTGAAGATGCAGGGGATCCAGCCTGGGACTTTGGCATGAAAAGCATGCGGTCTGCCACTGAGCATAGACTCCATAGCCGTAGACTCCATAGCCAATTCTTAGCAGAGATATTATAAAGCAACCCTGAAACAGAAGCATCTGAATCCCAAGTGCATTTGCGCAAGCATTAACTTGTGTTCCACTACAAATGGCAGAATGGCAAACACAAAGCTTGGGATACTCCTTCCTCTAAAACAGCCCTTGGTAGCAAGTGGTCCAGAGGTGTCACAATCCATGTTCACATGCACATTATTAAAGTCAAAGATTCTGCAGAAGCAGGGCCTGCACGGCTGCTTGTGTATTCATAATTGTAAACATGGCTTCATTAGTAATCTAGCTACATTTGAGCATTATATGTGGAACAACATGCTTTAAGCATATTGCTTCCCCCTTTTTAAAGTTAGTCATTTTGCAGAGTCCTCTCGGAAAAGCCATCATAGCAATTTCATACAATCATGTGTATGCGCATGTTTTAACCAGTTTCAGCATGAATAAACGATTTATGGAGTCACCAGAAACTCCTCCTTGAGATCGGTATATCCAGATCCTGTGATCATGCTAGCTTTAGATGCTAAAGTCTGCTTTCTGTTCAAAGGCACACTTTTAATGGACTTTTCTACTTGTCCAGTGAAAGGCATGTGAATTGATGTATTTATTCATGACCATGATGCAAAGAAAGAAACAAGGACTGACTGTAAGCAACGACTTTTCACAACAACTTAGAAAATTTCCCTAACTCTGCTAACTCTGTCCAAGTATGTACCAAGCACATTTATTTTCCTAATACATTTCTTGACATAATTTATAAAGGGGAGTGAGCATGTAAGATTACCTTTCAAAGGAATTTCTGAAATCACAGCATTCAGCCTTCTAAATCTGCTACATTAGAAAGGAGTCAACTTTGGTCTGTCTGCTTGTTTTTGTTTTGGTTACCAAAATCCCCATGGTCTATTGACATGTTTAACATGCAAAGGAAGATTGCATATTCAAGATCCTTGGTTCTTATTATATAACACCATCAATGTGAGCAGTGCATTATAAAGGTAATATGAGACGTCTCCGCCCCAAGGAGCACACATTCTGTAATTTGACAAAGGGGAAACTGAAGCAACAGGGATGGGAAGATGAAAGAAGAGGTAAAATGAAAAACAGAGTATGCATGCTTTCTGGTTGGTTGCGTTTAAACCTGTAATAAGGGCACTTGAATGCACAACAAACATGGGTTATGCACTGCTGGACCAGTTTCAGGTCACTGTTTTAGAAATGCCTTGTTTGACCCACCAGACAGTGGACAGTAGTTCCCTTCACATGATGTAACTTCTATTCATTACATTATTTTGGAGAAATTTCATCCCATACTTGGATAACCTATACATTGAATGAGGGACTGAACTTCTTTAAAAATGGCAACATCAAACCAAACCAAACACACCAACACTCAAATATGTGGTCTTTTCCCCCTTTCTAGGAGTCCCAAGGAAAAATAACAAATAGTAATTGATCTTATTTTACTTTAATCAAGTCACCCCAAACAAAACCTTTGGCCTCCACAGTCACCGAGCCTAGTGCAATCCCCGCCCCCTCACTCTTATTTCCCTGCATGCACCACCAGCGGCTATGTTATCCTTAAAAGTCTGTGCATATAAAATGCCACACACTTTCTCCCCCCCCCTTTTTTTTTGGCTTTCCAAAGTCGCAGATCAAAGCAGCAAGTGAAAAGGAAACCGCGCTCAAATACACAGACGGAATTAAGACTGCGGGGAGGGGGCAGAGGGAAAGGAAGGAGCCGGAGTTTAAAGTCCCCAAATCGAATCCATCTGGAAGCCAAATCCGGAGAGGGGGGGACGCGCTTTTCGGGTACAGGCGCGCGCACAAGTGTGCACACACACGCGCGCGCGCGCAGACAGACACAGAGGAGGGGGAAACAATGAGTGAGTGTGTGTGTCTATTTACCTTGGAGATTTTGGACTCTGATGTCGCTAATCTGTCCGATCAGCTCCTCCCGCTGAAACCAGTCCCATTCGCTCCCAGCCATGAAGGGGCAAGCCGAGGTGGCGATGGCAACACCGCAGTGGCAAAAGAGGGGAACCCCTCGAGGCACCCCCTCGCGAAACACACTCCGTCGGAAAAGGGAGCCAAATGAGTAGGAAGAGAAGGAGGAGAAAGCGAGCGAGCGAGCGAGCAAAGGGAAGGGGAGGAAGGGAAGGCGAGGGGGGGGGGGGCAGGAACTGCTTGCCCAGAGAAGGAGGAGGAGGCGGAGAAGAGTTGGACCGAGAGGAACCGGCGGCGGGGGCGCTGCGAGGTCCTGCGCGCACAGGCTTGGTCTAAGGGGGGTGGCCAGAAAGCCCCCAGAAGACCTCACGTGCCCTCGCGAGCGGCAGCGCGGAGGGGGGAGAGGAGCGCGCAAGTTATTGGGGGCTGAGGGAACGGGGAGGGGAGGGGACGGGAGGGGAAGAAAGCCACACTTTGGGCTGGCAAGAGGCTCCCCCCGTCCCGCCCCGCTCCGACCTGTGCGATCAAGTTTTTAAAAGGCGGAGGTCAAGCGCGAGGTTTCCAAGTTGCATCTTGTGATGTTTCTCACTGAGGTGGCGCAGCCGCCCGTTTGGGTAGGCGGGGAATCGAGCAACGCCCGCGCACGGAGCGCGAGCGAGCACCTGGCGGATGCGTCGTCCCAAGTAAGACTCCGGACGCTCATCCCGGACCCCCGTTCTCACGCCCCCCCTGCCTGGGCCAGCCCCGGCCTCGCCTCCTCTCCGCCTTCTCCGCGCCCCCACATGCCGCGCTCTCGCGCGCTCCCTCTCCCTGCAGCTGGATAAAAATTAATCTGATTAATCATTTTGCAATGGCCAGTGGCGGCGGGCGGGAGGGGGGGGGAGCTTCCGAACTCTGGGAAAGCCAAGCAGATACTCTGATGAGAAGGACCCTTGCTGTGCCAGTAGCAGTACGCAGAGCTGGCACATATGATCTGGGAAAGGAGATAATGCGTGTGCATGTATATGTAGCTCTGCATTCCAGTGTGGGGACTTCAAATGGTGTAACCAACGCAGAGAGGAGTCAACAGAGAAGGAAGGAGGAGGAATGCTGGAGGAGGAGCGGAAGCTTTCAGCACCGTCCCACCTGGAGGATCTGGGGACATCCAGGGAATCTGCAGAAACCAACAAACTAAGCCTAATCAAGAGGGGCGATGGACAATAGGGTCTGGCAAACTGGTTCATTCCGAGGAGGATTCTTCTGGTCTAACTTCCTGCTTTTAACAAGCGGTAGTGGAGGGGAACAGTCCTTTTCTCTCTCCATGAACTGGCCCTCTGTCTGGTTGTTCTCCATCTCTTGATTTTATGCCTTTTTAATTTAGCAACTCGATAGGATTGATTTATTTAATGGCCTGCTTTTCTGCCAAAAACTGGTGCTCAAAGTGGCTACAATCATAAAAAAGGCTACAATCTGGATACAAGTCTAACGTAAAAAGATCCATAAAAACACGACTAAAACACAATAAAAGAGATAGACAGCTCCTAGCCAATCAAAGAAAATGTCAGCAACAGACCAGCTAGCAAGTCAAAGGCCTGCCTGAATAAAAATGCATTTGCCTGATTGTGGAAGGATTGCAGAGGAGGGACCAAAGGGACTTCTCTTATCAGAGAGCTCCGGATCCTGAAGCAGCCACGGAGGAGGCCTGATGGTGGTGTGACTGAAGAAGTTTCCAGATCGATGCATTGATTCTCAGCATCTTTGCTGCATAACACAGGGTACATCCTCACACATTTCTGCACCTAGTAGTCTGGCAGAAGCAGGTAGTTATGAGGGATGAAAGAGAAAACAGATTCTTTAGTGCACAATTAAATGGCCCCACTTTGGGAGATCAACTACACTGTTTTAGGGCTTTTAAACCTCAAAGCCTTTCCAGATGATGGTTTTGCAAGGAATGCACAATCATCAATCATTTCTTGTGTTTATTGCAGGCAATCCAAATTCCTTTGCTCCAGATAACAAGACCATTTCTTCCCCAATGTCCCAAGTTGAACATTGTGTCAGTTTGCACAGTTCCTTGCATAAACACTAGCTTTGGTATTGGGAATCCAGTGTGAAAAGTTGTGAGAATAATGCAGGTGCTACCCAACTGGTGCCTGTGACATCACTGAGGGGAAGGACATACCTTTTCTCCATAAACTGGGTTAGCATTACAGCTGTCTGGATGTGACCCCAAGTTTTCAGTGTTGCTCTTCCTTCCTTGGGCCAGGAGGGGAAAAAAAGCTAAATTCCTGTCAGATGTAAAAAGGAGTGCCACCCCTGGGATTTAAAAATGCATTTGCATTTTGGTGTGAGCACGTGTGCAATGCAGCAGGAGTGGCAATGATGGGAGAAGCAAGGGTTGTGATGTGACCAGCAGCCCTGGTGACATTAGCCTCAACTGGCACCAATGTACTGGATTCTTAGCCAGCGCATGCTTTCTGTTCGGGGGTGTAGTGGAGCCAGGGCTTGCAGGGATGCCGCTCTAGCACCTCTTTATTAACAGGGACACTCATCTCACCTGCCATCCCCTCTGACTTTCAGAATTCTTTGTTGTCTCTGAGCTCTGCAGCAGCTGGGATAGGGACAGGAATGGATTTTCCCAACAATATATTGGGTCTGTTGTAATGGGACATATTTGATGGTGGCTTGTGCCTGAATCAACAGTTAAGTTCCATTCATTCTACAAAAGACCTGCTCCGAATGGAGATGCACCTGTTGATGAGATCAACACAGATGTCTGATTGCTTGGGCCCTCTTTGGCTCTATGGCTGGCGGGGGTGGGGGTGCTCGTCAAGAATGCCTGCACTGCTGAATGTGCCACCACACCACTGTTTATGTGCATCAAGGTTTCCCTGTGCCCACGCTGGGGCTGACTGGGATCAGCTCCATGTCATGCCTCTTTCTTCCCTGTTCAGAGAACCATGACAATGCTTTGGGCCCTTTCAAGCAACAAGCTGCCTGATTTACCCAGTTCCAGGACCAACCCTAGCGTTAGGCAGGGCAAGACAACTGCCTCAGGCAACGGCACCAGAGGGCTAGGAGTGATGGCAAGACAGGAGTACCACACAGGCTGCCCTGTGGCCTCTCTATTTGGGTGCAGCAGAGGCGGCTGGCACTGGAATAAGTTCCTGCTGCCATCCTGGTCTGCCTCTGTTCATGGAAGGCGCACCATCTCACCCTTTTTGCTTGATAAGCACCAAACATCTTGAGATGGCCCCTTCCAGACCATTGCACTCTTATGCCAAGCTGGCTGGCCACCATGCTAACTCACTGATCTTTCTGCTAGACCTGGAAGGGTGCAGTCCATGCATCTTTAGACAGAAAAATGTCCTACAGTCCCCATGCTGGCTGGAAACTGCTAGGACTAGTAAGATGCCTGTTGGTTTCAAATGCATTGAATTACATCTTAAATTCTTTTGTCCTTCCCCCTCTCACCCTTCAAATTCATCTTCAGTTTCAGGTGGGAGCAGAACATGGCAATGATCCTCAAAACTGGGTTTCACTTAGTTTTTCTTCCCAGAAATACAAAGCAACCCACCAGACAAGTGATTGAAAGAGAATGAAAAGCTGGAGTGGGTGGGTATATGAGGCAGAAAAGGAAATTTATTCCCCAAGCTCTTCCATTGACAGCCGTCTTAGCAAGTGTGGAGGAAGACGTGACGTACCGAACAGAAACAAGATTTTCCTGAATTCTGTTAAATAAGTAATGACCACTAGTAATTGAAATAAATATTTCATTATGCAGTTTATAGCTTCTGCCTCTTGTCAGCATGTTTAATGCATGGTCAAGCTCAACACAGACATTTGCAGTGCAATGCTGTGGGAGTTTACACAGATGTAAGACCCACCAAAGTGACTGTGGCTTACACTTTAGTAGCGGGTATGGGATGCCGACCTCCATCTGGGTACAGTTTACTGCTGCTGTATTCATAAAACACCAAAAGGAATGGCCAGGAATGAGTCCCCTAAAAGTCCTGCTAAAATCAGGGGTGCAATGCAATAGTGACTTTGTCCAAACTGGAAAAAAATCCTCTAAACTCAGTGGAGCTTCAGATCACAGAATCATAGAATAGAATGGCAGAGTGGGAAGGGGCCATGAAGGCCATTGGGTCCAACCCCCTGCTGATGCAGGTCACCACCTTACACCATCCAGTTTCTGTTCAGTTTCTTCTTGAATGTCTAGTGTGGGAGAGCCACCACCTCTCCAGGCAGCTGGCTCCACTGTTGGATCGCCCTGGCAGTGAAGAAGCTTTTCCTGATGTCCAGCCTGAATCTGGGTTGTTGCCACTTGAATTGATTACTTGGTGTCCTGCACTCTGAGAGCACCAAGCAGAGATCTTGACCTCCCTCCTGTGTTGCAGCTTGCAACCTTGGGATGAAATCCTAAGCAAGCTTACCTGGCAGTAAGTCCCAGTGAAAGTGGCAGCACTTAATTCTGAGTAGACCTGTATAGGGTGGCCTGTTAGTTGTGCCAAAGAACGACACGGACTTTGCCAGAAAAATCTCACCCTCCTCCTCTTTCTCTGCACCATGCAGTATTTTAAACGCCTCTTTCATGTCCCCTCTTACTTTCCTTTTTTCTACGCTAAACATTCCCAGTTGTTGTAGCTGCTCATCGGTCAAAGTTCTCAGGTTGATTTACAGAAGCGTTAAACCTTAAACCTACAACATAAAAGATAATATAAAAATATTTACATGCAGTGAGAAACAATCAGCAGTAGAAGTCCAATGACTCATTTTGTTGCCTTTCTCTGTACTTTTTCCAACTCAATAATGTCCTTTTTCAGGTAAGACAACCAATCAATTTCCTAATTATACCTAATATGGAGTTTGTCTTTTTCACAGCATCTGAAAACTGGATCAACATTTCATCAAACTGTCCAATACTACCCCAAGATAAGTTTCTTGGTCCATCATTGCTAGCTCAGATCCCATCAGCATATACTTGAATTTGGAACTTTTTGCCCCAATAAGCATCACTTTATACTGCTGACACCTCAGCCCAAACCTCCTGATGACCTCTCC